CTGTCTTTCTGTCTGTCTGGTCCTTGCTGTCTGTCTGTCTGTGCTATCTGTTCTGTCTGTTCTGTCCTGGTCTTTCTGGTCTCTCTGGTCTGTCTGTCTGTCTGTCTGTCTGTGTCCTGTCTTCTGTCGTCTGTCTGTCTGTCTGTCTGTCTGTCTGTCTGTCTGTCTGTCTGTCTGTCTGTCTGTCTTTCTGTCTGTCTGTCTGTCTGTCTGTCTGTCTGTCTGTCTGTCTGTCTGTCTGTCTGTCTGTCTGTCTGTCTGTGTCTGTCTGTCTGTCTGTCTGTCTGTCTGTCTGTCTGTCTGTCTGTCTGTCTGTCTGTCTGTCTGTCTGTCTGTCTGTCTGTCTGTCTGTCTGTCTGTCTGTCTTCTGTCTGTCTGTCTGTCTGTCTGTCTGTCTGTCTGTCTGTCTGTCTGTCTGTCTGTCTGTCTGTCTGTCTGTCTGTCTGTCTGTCTGTCTGTCTGTCTGTCTGTCTGTCTGTTCTGTCTGTCTGTCTGTCTGTCTGTCTGTCTATTCTGTCTGTCTGTCTGTCTGTCTGTCTGTCTGTCTGTCTGTCTGTCTGTCTGTCTGTCTGTATGTCTGTCTGTCTGTCTGTCTGTCCTGTCTGTCTGTCTGTCTGTCTGTCTGTCTGTCTGTTCTGTCTGTCTGTCTGTCTGTCTGTCTGTCTGTCTGTCTGTCTGTCTGTCTGTCTGTCTGTCTGTCTGTTGTCTGTCTGTACTGTCTAGTTGTACTGTCTGTATGTTATGTCTCGTGCATGATCTGTTTCGTGTGGGTGTGTGTGTGTGTGTGTGTGTGTGTCATGTCTGTATGATCCTGTCTGATGGTACTGTCCTGTCTGTATGTCTGTCTGTGGCTGTCCTGTTTTCTGGTCTGAATCTGTTCCCCCCCCCCCCCCCCCCCCCCCCCCGTTCTGTCGGTCTGTCTGTCTGTCTTCTGATCTGTCTGTACTGTCCGGTCTGTTCTGTATTCTGTCTGCTCTGTCTGTCTGTCTTCTGTCATGTATTTCTGTATGTATTTTCACCAATCTGCCCGCATGCCATACTTTTTTCTTTACTATTATCACGTCTTTTGTGAAAGACGGAGTGTTTGGCCAGCTCGATGTAAGACGGGCATGCATTCCTAATTTGTGACCCTTTGAAAAAAAACAATAAGTTCATTCTTTCTTTCTTTTCATGTATACATTACATAGTATGGTGTCACTAGGTGTTTTGTCTAAGTGGTCATATGAAAAAGTGTAACAACAGTTATTTTGACTAACAGCTGCCACGTTCATGTCTGCGTCATTTGGAGGAGTTTTTGTTGGCGGCTTTTTGAGCAGACGATACAAGATGACAGCCATGAGATGTCTGCAGTTTAGCTGCCTCATGACCGCTTTGTCCGTGATGATTTCAACTCATGACCCTCATCTTTCGGTGTGACCACCCTACCGTTCACAACGGGCCGGGGTGAGCAGATTTTTCAGTCAGTCACTCAATCATTCAGCCAGTCACTCAGTCAGTCAGATAGTTAACTAGTTAGTTTTTCGGTCCGTTTATTAGTTATTTACTTAGTCATTCAGCTGGACAGTCACTCAGCTAGTAAATCAGTCAGCCAGTCAATTCATTAATAGATCAATAATTTAGTTAGTGAGTTGGTTAGCTGGCTAGTTAGTTTGTTAGCTAGTTAATTAATTAGCTAGCTGGCTAAGTAGTAAGTTAGCTAGCGTGTTAGCTAGCTACTTACTTAGTTATTTACAAGTTATTAATTAGTTAATAAGTTAACAAGTTAGTCAATTGGCTATGTAATTAGTTATTAGTTAGTTAATTCGTTAGTTAGTTAGTTAGTTAGTTAGTTAGTTAGTTAGTTAGTTAGTTAGCTAGTTAGCTAGTTAGCTAGTTAGTTAGTTAGGTAATTAGTTAGCTACTTAGCTAGTTAGTTAGTTAGTTAGTTAGTTAGTTAGTTAGTTAGTTAGTTAGTTAGTTAGTTAGTTAGTTAGTTAGCTAGTTAGCTAGTTAGTTAGTTAGTTAGTTAGTTAGTTAGTTAGTTAGTTAGTTAGTTAGTTAGTTAGTTAGTTAGTTAGTTAGTTAGTTAGTTAGTTAGTTAGTTAGTTAGTTAGTTAGTTAGTTAGTTAGTTAGTTAGTTAGTTAGTTAGTTAGCTAGTTAGTTGGTTAGTTAGTTAGTTAGTTAGTTAGTTAGTTAGTTAGTTAGTTAGTTAGTTAGTTAGTTAGTTAGTTAGTTAGTTAGTTAAGTAATTAGTTTTTTGGTTGGTTAGCTAGTTAACCTCATTGCTTTGGGGGCTGCGTGGTCTCGAGGCATGGTCCGGCTCGAGTGCTAAAGGTCCCGTTCGAAGGTTGGGATTTTTTTCACGTGTACTTCTAGTAATTCCCCTCGGTCTCTGGGTAGTAAGACCGGACGCCCGTGTGTATTGTTGCGCACGTAAAAAATCCAGTTGGAAATCGAAAAGAGTAGCCTAAAAGCGTTGCCCGGGGAAAATGTGGAGTTAAAAATCTATCAAAAGTAGTTCAGGATCCTCGCCGGTGCAGCGGAGTTCGTGCACAGCGCTGAAATTCTTGAGTTAGAATAAGAACGGAGCACTTATGGGTTAAACCCGTCCTATGGTGTTAATCCGTTGAATAAACAAACAAACCAACCAACCTATCGTCTTAAATATGAATGTGTTAGTAAACCCAAGTCTTGATTTCTGACACTCGTTTCTGTTTCATTCCCTAATTGCTAACACAATGGACAGCGAGGAGAACAGCTGCAACAGGGGATGTAATTGCAGAGACAACAGTTACTTCCCCATCTGTGGAGACGACGGCAAGACCTACTACTCTCCTTGTCACGCCGGATGTCTCCTGGCGGAGCATGGGGTACGTGTAGCTGTTAGTTGCTAGTTGTTCGTCCAGGTTCTCACTGCACTATAGACAGATTGTCCCTAGTCAGGTTGACCCTAGACAGATTGTCCCTAGACAGAGTGTCCCTAGACAGATTGTCCCTAGACAGAGTGTCCCTAGACATATTGTCCCTAGACAGGTTCTCCCATCATTGCTTCGCTCCTGTGTACTTGAAATCGCACAAATTGTTCTCTACTGTCCAATTTGGAACAAAATGAAAGAGATAGGAATTCCAGCAAAGTTCTGAAGCTCACACATGCAAACTAAATGCATGAGTTTACCAAAGCCACCAGTCCAACATCAGAATCACTGAAAACATTCTTTTTCAAGCATTCGGTTATGAAAGCCGGCATTTTACTGCAATACACGCCATTTCAAAACCAACTGACCCGCCTCCATTTTAATGCAGTTCATAACACAAAGTTGTTCAGGTACAACCGGGGGGGGGGGGGGGGGGGGGCATTTCAGATAAAATCCATAGCTGACAGTGCGACACCCGAGCAATAACTTCAGTAGCTGGGCGACGGAACGTTTGGTCTAATGATTGTTCAAAGTGTCGGCGGGAAACAGGCTTTCAGCCATCTTGGACAGAAATCTACGCCTGGATAGGTACACGTGAAGTGTCAGCAATTTTTTATAATTTGTTCCTTATCTTTACATTCACTCTTAGTCATGTTAGTACACCCACTTTTCCTCTGACCAATTGTTTATCCGTCACAAGCGACGATAACCAGTATACATACTAGCTAACAAAAGTTTGTTTCAATAAAGAAGACGCAAACATTAGATTGTACAATTCATTACCTGACACATTTGGTTGTATCTCGTCAGGTGCTTACTGAAGTACCAATTGATTAAAATGTAGCAAATTAATGGATCCTTCCAACTGAAATACAAAATCGACTACATTCAAAAGCAACTGCCTGTTTCACCAATGTAAAAACAAGATGCGACGGTTACTTTTGAATGCGTTTCATTTTGTATTTCAATTGCTTTGCTAGTTTCTTCACCTCATTCCTGAGACTTGTGTCGTGGTAAACGTTCGCCTGCCGGAGATTTCAGTGAGATCCTTAGATATTCTCGCTTCCTCATAATTAATTTCAACTGTTTCAATCGCAGAACTTTGTGACAGCAGCAGTTTCTCGAGGAGATAAATCACCGCAATGAAAAATCATGTGTACGAAAATGTCAGAGGCGACAGGGAATGCCAGCTTTCTTTAGTAATTTTATTCTTTATTGAAGAGACTTGCCAGCTTGTGCTGCAGAATCAGAAGCTCAACAAATGATTCATAACAATTCCCGCCTAAGTGATGTGATTGTATATACAGATGGCTCTGTGTTGAGGGGCCGATAAAGTGCATGGGGGTTTAGAGCAAGGGCGAAAGACGTCGCTTAGTGCAACAATGCCTGGCATGTGATATCACAACGTCTAGTCTGAGAATGGAGGTGGAGGCGGTCACTGCTGCCTTCCGCTGGCTTGAGAATCAGTTGGACACACATGTCGTCATTGTCACTGACTCACAGAGCATGTTGAGAAAAGTGGGGACATGTATGCTCTGAGCAGAGTGGCAAGCATCACTTTAGAAGTCCCCGATAGAAACTATCCTTTAGATATTTTCTCCAGGTCATGCCGGTGTGTTGGGAAATGAGCAGGCAGATAGACTGACCAGTTCTGCACCACTTGGTAGTGAACTGATGTATGACCAGCTAGATGTTGTTGGGGCCCTCTGGGAGCGAGTGAACAGTGCGGAAGCGCGAATAGATCATTACGGTCTGAGTAGAATGGCGCTGCGAGGAGTTTTACCATGGGATGTGGCCGACGCTCAACACTCAAGGAAGGGGCGAAACGGATATACAATCAGACAGTGAATGGTACTATCGAAATTAAAACTCTTCGCTTGCTGTTGAAGATGGGAACGGAGCGCTTATGGGGGTGTCCCGAGTGCTATGATGTCAATTCTTAATTCATCATTTTTAGTAATTTAAAACTAAATGCAAAAAGGTAACAAAACATATTGCGTAATGAATATGATTTATTAGAACTAGTTTAACACACAAGATGCGCTGCTGGGATTAGAAATAGTTTGTTAATCATTCAATCGGAATTAATTTATTTTGACATAATCTGTGGAGACGCATGAGCGCCTACGCCAGTTGACAGAGCACACAATGATGGTGATGATATATTTCATTCATTCATTCATTCATTCATTCATTCATTCATTCATTCATTCATTCATTATATAACGATGTGTGGATGATGCTGAAGCCCGTATCTTAGCAATGAACTCATGTCCACTCTGTACACAGATCTACCAAAACTGTTCCTGCGTCCTGAGTGGTCAGGCTGTGACAGGCGTCTGTGAGTTCGGATGTTCCCATCTGTATGGTTACGTCATATCCGGGTGCCTACGATTGTTGTCAATGGCTCTCAATTTTGTCCCCAAAACGATCGTTTTTATGAGGCAAGTCCATTTCTAGAAATAATTCTACACTGTACATTTACCATGTTCATCCAGTTTCAGAATTAGTTCTACTTTCTACATTCACCATATTCATCCACTTTCAGGGTTAGTTCTACATTTTACATTGTCCAATATTCATCCACTTCCAGGATTAGTTCTACGTTATACATTGTCCAAGTTCATCCACTTTCAGGATTAGTTCTACATTATACATTGTCCATATTCATCCACTTTCAGGATTACTTCTACATTATACATTGTCCATATTCATCCACTTTCAGGATTAGTTCTACTTTCTACATTTACCACGATCATTAGCTTTCAGGGTTAGTTCTACAATATACATCGTCCGCTTACAACACACCTGTATGCATTGGGGAAAATATCAAAAAGACGCTGCAAATATTTAAAAGTTTTCGCCTTACATTACTCTCACACACACACATTTGTACACACACACACACAAACACATAAACACACACAAACACATTTGTATTGTACACACACACACGTGTACACACACACACACACACTTGTACACATACATACACACACACACACGCATACACGCGCTTAAAACACAGTCACAAATACACATAGCGCACTGGGTCATGCGGGCGTGAAGGGAAATGAGCGAGCTGACCAACTGGCAAGTACTGCACTGCGGATTGCGGGAAAAAGACATGGACAGAGCAGATATCGTCAACGCTTTACGAACTTGGCTTGTGGATAATGAGGAATCCCTAACACTAACACGATTTCGTGACATCAGAGTAAAGCATGGTGAAGCACGTCTATGCCGTCTTCGAGGCCGAGATAGGAGACAAAATAACCAGCTTCTCATGGAAACGTCGGCTCTGTGGCTAAGTCGATGCGAACGCTTCGTAATGCCGGGACGCCTTGCGTTGGTTTCGACAGTGGTATCAAGAAAGCCAACCGTCCAGAAAGCAATGACAAACTACTGGACGTAAATTTGCCTAGAAAAACCACACAACAGCCAGGGGCTGCTGGGGTTGGATCTGTAACGTCCTGTAAAGAATACGCAACTAACCTTAAACCTTTCATGGGAACAATTAGAAGAAGTACTCTGGAGTGGCTGCTGCATCGGAGGACTGAGCACGCATGGGAATGCCCAGTGTGCAGTGACGTTGATTGTGATAACATAACATTACATATAACACAACCTTTTTATAACATATAACATAACACAAAGCTTCTATATTGCAGATGTGTCCCAGAACAAGACAGATCCATGTCTCTATCAGTGATGCCGTTTGTAAATTCCCTTTTCGGTAAGCAATCATCTGTGTCAGATCTGATCGCATCAAGTAGTTTGGAAATTAATCTTTCTTAACAAAAGCACCTTCCATCCCATAGAATTGCCGTGGAATAGCGGCCAGAGGCTCGCCGCGGATCGGAAGGTCGTGGGTTCACTTCTTGGTGGATCCGGACTTTTTTCCAAAAATGACCTTGACTCCCAGGTCGATCCAGCCCTGAGTGGGTACCGGGTGCAGTCCCGGGAGGTAAAGGCGGCTGATGCGGCTGACCACATCACCCATCTTGTGCCGATTGATCTATACAAAATATAGACCTGGCCCTATTTGCCCTATATGTCTAAAGGCGTGGAAAAGGGTCCTTTTACAATCAACACTCGTCAGAGGTGCCAACATTATAGTTGCTTCTACTGTTGCAGCTGCTACTGTAGCTACTATTGTTAGTGCTGTTACTATTGCTGCTACTGCTGCAACTGCTGCTACTTCTGTTGCTGCTACTGCTGCTACTACTGCTATTTCTGTTACTGCTACTAGTGCTACTTCTGTTGCTGCTACTGCTGCTACTGTTGCTACTATTGTTAGTGCTGCTACTATTGCTCCTACTGCTGCTGCTACTGCTGCTACTTCTGTTGCTGCTACTGCTGCTACTACTTACGTTGCTGCTACTGCTGCTACTACTGCTACTTCTGTTGCTGCTACTGCTGCTACTACTGCCACTTCTGTTGCTGCTACCACTGCTACTTCTGTTGCTGCTACTGCTGCTACTACTTCTGTTGCTGCTACTACTGCCTTCTGTTGCTGCTACTGCTGCATCTACTGCTACTTTTGTTGCTGCTACCACTGCTACTTCTGTTACTGTTACTGTTGCTACTTCTGTTGCTGCTACTGCTACTTCTGTTGCTGCTACTGCTGCTACTACTGTTACTTCACTTGCTGCTGCTACTGCTGCGGCTGCTTCAGATGCCGCTGCTGTGACCTACAGCTACTGATACAACTCTGTGAGTGATCTACTAAGTAAACTTAGATGTCTAGCCAAATGACAATAGACTTCAAGTAGATCTAGTAATGTGTGGTTGAATTTTGCAGTCCTTCTCAGTTGCCATTTGACCAACAAACGTAGGTGGGGTACTGTCTAGGATAGATATAGGGCCGGTCTAACTATCAAAGTATCTGGGTAATGTTGTTTGAAAGTAATCTACCAATGTTCAAACAGGTTGGCTGGTTGCTCCGATATTCTTTGGCCGTCTCATCGACGACACCTGCTTGATCTGGGACGTCAATTGCCTCACTAGGGGTCGCTGTCTTCTTTACGACAACAATAACTTCCGGGTTACATTTCAAGGTTATGGAGGTTTGTGCCTAGCGTGTTCTTTAGTGTTTCAGCTGATTGCCTACGTGTACGCCAGGTGGACCAGGTGTTTGGACACAGATGCTAAAGCTGACATTGAAGTCAATGTAGAAATGACAACAGTTGTTGAAGACAAAGATACTGTAAACGCTTAAATTTGGAATCCAATATGGCCACCAAGACAACGACAGATGGTGGCGACAAGTCAGAATTGAATACCGTCCCACCCCCACCCTCTTTAACATCAACAGTCTTCAATCTGCACGATGAGTTCTAGCCCTAACCTCCCACTCCCTCCACCTTCCCTCCAACGACAGATCTTTTCTGAGAGCACATGGGTTCGTTGACACTTGAGGTCTATATATGTGACCCCCCCCCCCCCAACTCCTCTTTCACAACAATCTGCTGAGAGCTCTTGAGTTCGGTGCTCGGAGGCTCTGTTACTTGCACATACCAGAACCTATCCACCATTCAAACCCACCACAACCGGACCGCACTACGACAGATAACGTCTAGAATCATAGTTAGGCTTCCTCAACCATTTCATCCACATCACCATTACATGCCTGCTCTTATTACAGACAGGTAGACAGACGTCTATAAGATCGCTCTCACCATACGCGAATTATTTTCACAATTTCGGATCTACACAAACCCAAAAACTGTTTTCAGTACTGATAGCAAAGTCAAGGACCATTTTCCACGCCTTTAGGCCTACTGGGCACATAGGGCTAGATCTACATTTTATAAAACAATCGGCTCTTGGTGGGGGATATGGTCAGCATCACGCCAGCCGCCTTTACTTCCCCGGATTGACCTTGTACCAACTCAAGGCTAGGTCGACCTGGGAATTCAAGGTCATGTTTGAAAAAATAAAAGTCTCGCTACATCAGGACCCGAACCTACGATCTTCCGAACCGCTGGCGAGGGTATAGATGCTACACCACGGCGACTCGCCTTTCAAGACTTTTGGCAAACTAAAATACTCAAAATTGTAAAACTATAAATGGTTGTCCGAAAGTACGTTATGTAAAGAATAGTTGCAAGCGAACTCTTCACCCCAGTGGTCATATTTCACTAACTCCTTTCACGTTCATATATATATGGTGTATTTTTAATGACTGTTGTTTTTGAAAACATTGCCGTTGCTATTTTTATAAACAACTTATGTGGGGTTAATGCAACATATACTGCTATTTTGTGTCTAATTTGACTCCCCAAAAAAATTCTTTTATGGTGAGATTCACAATGGGAAACGTTCCCATGGCGGACAAAAGAAATGCTTTAAGGACACCTTGAAGTCTTCACTTGTGTAATCTGGTAATCCTAGTTTCAGCTTCATAGCAAACGGGTCACCCCACAGTTGCTCCGCTCCTGTGCCAACGAAAAACAAACGCAGCTCACAGTGTCACGCCACAGTGTCACACTTGTGTGTGTGTGTGTTTGCATGCTTAAATATGTAAAAGTGTTTATACGTGTGGCTGTATATACACGTCTGTATGAATGTGTGTGAGTGTATGTACGTGTATGAACACGTATGTATGCATGGGTGGGTACGCGTATGTATTGTATGTAAAAGTGTGTGAATGCATGAGTGCATGTATGTGTGCTGATTGTATGAATATGTGTGTTTTGTGTTAGTGTGAAAACGTTTATGTATGAGTGTAAGTGCATGTTGCTGCATATGTGTGTGATTGTATGTATGTATGTATGTGTATGCATATGTATGTAAATGAATGAAAATGTATGTAACTGTGTATATATGAGCATGTAAGAGAATGTGTATGCTTGATTGTGTTTGTGTGTGTATGTGTCATGCGTGTCTGCATTATTTCAGTATGTATTCTGTAAACAAACATAACAGGCATGTTAAAAACATACAACTGTGGTCTCAAAAATGAGACAGGCCTGCGTGCCCAATTTGCAACCCTCAAATGACGTTCGTTTGTTCCTATTTTAATTTCATTTCTACTTGTTGTTCCGGCTGTTGTTTGAAGACATCTGATTACCATTGTTACGATTTTTGCGTTGACTGGGTTGTGGCAAGGGTCCGTGTCTGACACTTGTAGCATTAAATAAACAGACACAAACCCAGCCTGAATAAAAACACCTTTTATAATGCAAATATAGCATGTAAATAAAATAAACACAATATTTTGTTATGTCTATTGTATTATTATCTCTGCATTTATGTTGTGTGTGTGTGTGTGTGTGTGCATGTGTACATGTCTGTGTGCATGTGCAAATGTGTGTGTACTTGTGTATGTGCGTGTGTGTGCGTGTAGGATTGCTAGATTTAAGTATAAACTAACTAAGTTAGTTGCCTACCCTTGACAGGAGATTGTAGAATACCAGCCCCAGTGTTTTTTGGCTGTTGTGGTTTTTCTAGGCAAATTTACGTCCAGTAGTTTGCCATTGCTGCTCAACGGTCGGCTTCTCGATACCACTGTTGAAACCAATGCAAGGCGCAAGGCCCGCAGCTGGGATCGAACCCGGCACCCCAAGCATTACGAAGTGCGTTCGCAACGCCTAAGCCACAGAGGTGACAAACTAACCAACTGTCGCTTTATGCCTCACAATCTACAGGGGCCTCAACAAATTTATTTTTTTTTTGTTTCACAAATGCAAGTTTATTGCAATGTATCTTTTAAACCACTTAAGGTTTTATAGATCAAGACAAGACTTGATATGGCAACAGCCGCGATGTCGCAGCTGAATACGATGTGGAAGAGCCAAATCAACATCGCATCAAGGTTAATATCTACAAATCACTGGTGTTGTCTATTTTCGTGTACTGGTGTGAGAGCTGGACTCTCACTTTGGAAGTTGAAAGGAGGATTCAGGCTTGCGAGTGTAACTGATATAGACGCATTTTAAGAATTTATTTAGAACACAAAACAAATATGTCCGACATAAAATATACAAATGTGCAGGACGTCAGGAGCGTGTCTTGGCAGTGGCGAAACGTCACAAGCTAGCTTGGTTCGGTCATGTGGTGAGACACGATTAGATTTCAAAGACTGTACTTCAAGGAACAATTGGGGGTAGGGGAGGGCAAAGAAGAATCTGGAATGACAACATCAAGAAATAGACAGGACTAAAATATTCATACACTTATTCATCAAGCAGAAGACAAAGAAAGATATCGGGTTGTATGTGCTAGTGTTTCCAATAATCCACCTCCACGACTCTATAAGGTCAAGGGTTATGTTGTGTTAAAGTTTTATATATATATTAGGGTCTCCGGCGGTGACGGTGTAACCTCAAGTCAAACAGGGTGGGTCTGTCATATAAAAGAGACAAAAATGTCCCTCCGACTGTTTGATCAACCATCGCTGATCCATACAGACAGGATATCGACTTTTCAGCCCCACCCCCCAGACAATCAGACTTCCACAAAAACAGGATGTCGACTCTTCAAGATCCCGCCCGACAATCAATCATCAACACAGACATGATGTCGACTCTTCAAGATCCCGCCCGACAATCAATCATCCACCTGGAACTTTGCCAGGAATTATGATTTTCCCAAGTTGCTTCATCTTACTTTCGACTAAATGTAAAGATGTCCACCGTTGGGACCATGTAAAATAGCAGAGAAATGTAATTAACAGAGAAATGGACACTATACTTTTCAGAATTGTCTGTGGATTGTCAGGGATAGAATGTC